TGGGAAGAACTGCGTGCAGGATAAGGGAAGCACAGATCTGCGCCCGGGAGAGTCCAAGAGCGCGTGCGCGCGCGCGCGCGCGCGCGCGAGAGAGAGAGAGAGAGAGAGAGAGAGAGAGAGAGAGAGAGAGAGAGAGAGGGGTGTGTGTGTGTGTGTGTGTGTGTGTGTGTGTGTGTGTGCACGCGCGTGTGTCGTGGAGGGGAGGGAGGACCCCTCCCCACCAATCAATCAATCAATCAATCAATCAATCAATCAATCAACCAATCAATCAATCAATCAACCAATCAGTCAATCAATCAATCAATCAATCAATCAATCAATCAATCAACCAATCAATTAATCAATTAATCAATCATCCAATCAATCAATCAATCAACGGAAAATATATATATATATATATACAGGGTTACCTGACCGAACGTTTGGGGGTTCGGGCGTTCGGGGTCCCGTTCGGGGGCCGAACTCCTCCAGGTTCCGCCCCCGCCAAAAAACTTTTCGGGGCCTAAAAATAAGTTAGTTTTTCTGAATTGTTTTTTGTGAGTTCTCTATCATGTAATCTACACGCCTATAGATTTTGAAGCCATTCTGCTAAGCCAAAACAACATTAAAAATCGTCAAAGATGGGGGTGTCAAAACGTGCTCGCCCACTCACTCTTTTGTTTTTTTTCACTTTTAACTTTTTGTTTTCACTTTATTTCGGGGCCTTAAAAAATTTATTATTTTTTGAAAACTTTTTCATGAGTTAATGATTATGTAAACTACATATCTGTAAATTTTCAGGGCATTTGTCAATGCCAAAAACTAATTAAAAATCGGCAAAGATGGCGGTGTCGAAAAGGTGCTGGCACACTCACTCATTTTAATTCTCTTTTTATTTTTTCTTATTTTTATCATAGTGTTTTATTTTCTGTATTTGATTCTTAATTCAAATTTGGTAAAGAATTTGGATGTAGTGCCCAGGCAAATTTTGTTTAGTTAATTTGTCTCCATAACATATATTGTTTTTGGATTTTTTTGAAAACGTGTTTTTTTTTTTTTTTTTTTTTTTTGGTCCGTGTTTGGCCCGAACGGCCGAACGCCGAACGGCCCAAACGGCCCGAACTTCCGAAGGGGTCCCGTACGTTCGGGCGTTCGGGTTTGGGCGTTCGGCCCGTCCCGAACGCCGGTAACCCTGTATATATACATATATATTTATTAATTTTGGTACTCAGCAAAAAACACCCCTCCCAAAAAATAATTTTTTTTATTTTTTACTGCGCAGTCCTATAGAGGAGGATGTGCAATCAATGCTGGCAGGAACCACGCCTACGTGCACATAGCCAGGATATTCCAAATCATGTCTTTCAAGTGTAATGGGACGCTGGACCCGATTTCCAGCAGGTGGGGAGCCTCTCCCCAGGTGCTAGTGGTGTCTGCTCTAACCAGCACCACCAACAGTGACGGCGGCGTTTTCAAAAAAAAAAAAAAAAGTTATCTGGATTTAAAGAGCCCCAAGGGGTCTTAGGACCCCTCAGGGGAGTCTCTGACGCAAATGCATATGGACCCCACGGTGCACCGATTCAGCCACCGCGTTAATGGCCTAAGAATGTGGAGGTGGTTTAAGTTTTGGTATCCCCGTTTCCAGCAGGTGTTTCTCCCCACCAATAGATTGGAGGCATAAAAAATTAATTAAAAAAAAAGAATTCAGGTCGGTGTCCACTTTGAGGTCTGAAAGGGCCAACCCTCTTTGACAATTGCGTCAGGTTTTGTTAGTGCATGGCAAGCTTAAACTGCCAGTACCTTTCCCAGGCAAAAGCGCCAGCCGTGAGAATGATGAGGACACGTATAGGGGCACAGCTATCTGGGTTTGAGATGGAGCTGGTGAGGGAGATACAGCATGGAGATACGCCTTTTGACACAGATGATGACGTCTGGCATGGAGAGGATGATCGGCAAGATGAGGTGGATGTAGTCAACTACTTTGCAAATCTTTGCGCAGTCTACATGGATGGGGTAAGCAGTGATGATGAGCAGAATCAAGAAGACGCTGCCAGCTGCGAAACTGACGAGCAGGATGATGAAGACGTCGTCGGCCACTTTGCAGCCATCAATTCAGTATATGAGGAGGGTGAATTTGAAAGTGAGTATCAGCGCGGCGAGTGCGAATATGCCCTCGGTGATGCAGGCGGGTGCGAATTGGAGTGGGGGCAGATGGCAACGGCGATAGCACCGGGGACGTCAACAGCAAACACAAAAGCAATTGCAGTAAAGACACCGACAACAATAATTCCTGTTCCTGACGATGACCCTCAGCCTCAGCAGGCCACTGAAGACACGGAATATGCTGCCCTTCATGAAGTGGGCGGGGGGGGGGATGTAGGGCTGATGGCTTCGATGGTAGAGATGGGAGAGAACAATGAGTGGGGGGGGGGAAGTAGGGATGCTCAGATGGTGGAGATGGGAGAGAATGATGTCAGTGACAGTAACATTAACAACAACAACAACAACAACAATAACAACAACAGCAAAGATGGCGGTGACAACGTCATGGTTGAGACGGGAGAGAATGACGACAACTAACGACAGGGACTATGTTGTCCTTCATGAGGCGGGTGTGGGGGTGGGGGAGGTAGGGCTGATGATTACGGCTGGGATGGATGAGATGGGAGAGAACGACGTCAACAACAACAACAACAACAACAACAACAACAACAACAACGACAACAACAACAACAACAACACCGATGGTGACAACAACAACAAAGATAGTGGTAATAATGAGATGGTTGAGATGGGAGAGAACGATCACAACATCAACAACAGCAGTAATAACAACAACGATGGTGAGCAGGGATGGGGGGAGAGGGGCGAGGAGGGTGAGAAGAATGACATTGACAACAACATGGACAGTGAGAACAACAGCATCATCGACGGTGAATACAACAACAACAACAATAGCCATAGCAATAATAGCAACAAGAACAACAACAATCAAGATAACGACGGTGGCGACAACCGTGATTGTCTCTCTTTCAGGCACCAGGCGGGGATAGGACAGATGACTTCCCTGCCAAGATTAGGGTTGATTGTATCTCATTTCTCGACTCTTAATCATGATAGGATTGTTGATGATTATGTTTTGTTGGTGCTAGTGAGCATATGACATCTAGATATATCATTGTATAGGGGATATATGATTCAGGAGCATGAGGTCAATCCTTCCCCTGTCTAGGGAAGTAATCAATGTCTCTGTTCTTTTCGGTGATACAGGTGAGTCAAGTGTATTTACAGCCTGACTGCACTCATCATAGTATAGATAAGCTGGACTCGGTCTCCAGTTCACATAGAGTACATCAGCTCTGGGTTTTCCTTCAGCTTTGTGTTAGAGCTTCATTTCTGGCTTGATTGATAAAATTGGGCTTGATGCCTCGCTTACTATGCTGCTATGGTAGGGTAGGGGATAGGGTTTTCCCTTCTGGGCACATGCATTAATCGACGTATTAATCAATGAATGAAGACAGAAAGTTTGGGTGTTGTCTTATATGGATTGCTATACATATACAGACAGTGTCTGACTGTAGACAATGTAGATCAGATGCATAGGACATAGTTTCACACCACTGTTTAGGGATGCTGGACCCCACGTCCAGCTGACATACATCACATCATTGTAATACACATTAGATAGGATTGGGCTCAGTGCCAGGCACTGCAGATCGAAGGCAATTATATCTCTGCATAGGGACGCTGGACCCGAATTCCAGCAGAGACATTCACATCATTGTACAGGGACGCTGGACCCGATTTCCCGCAGATTCATTCACATCATTGTACAGGGACGCTGTGAGGACCCCGGCCTCAAACTTTCTCATGGATAATATCAGCCTTGGGCACTGGGCCCGTTTTTGCAAAAAAAAAAAAAAAAAAAAAAAAAAAAAAGGGACGCGGGACCCGATTTCCAGCAGGTGTAGCTCCCACCAATAGATGGAGCCTTCGACGCTGGGACCTACTTACCGGGGATGCTCTTATCACCTCGTTAAGTAGGTTTCCCGTATATGAAGTTTTTTTCACAAAAAAAAAAAAAAAAAAAAAAAAAACACGGAGGCTGGCCCCTGGCACGCGCACAGACCAGGTACATCCCAAATGCTTGGCGCGCAGGGCCCGCAGTCTACATATGGGAAAGGTACAGGCGGTTTAATATTAAGAGAGCCATTTGGTATCCCAGTTTCCAGCAGGTGTCCCACCCCAACAATAGATTGGAGGCATAAAAATTTAATAATAAACAAAAAAAAACAGATTGGTGACTATGTTGAGGTGCAAGGCCCCACTGCTTTTTCACAATTTGCCTTAGGTCTTGCCAGTGGAAGACAACCTTACTATAATCTGATTTGACAAAGAAGTCTCATAGACAGGATATAAGTGTCTTCCATGTTGTAGACCCTGGCCTTCTACATCACCAGCATTTCCGATTAAAGGGGATCTCTACGATGGAGGACTCCTATTCAAAGGCATACCTTTTTCAGTCATAACCCCAAATCCTGCTTCTGAAGGTATCAGCTCCAGGACCGCACAGAAATGCGGATGGAGCAAACTTGTTTGCGAATGAGTTTCCGGGACCCCACAGCCTGGCCACTGCGGACGTCCTGGAGAAGATGGAAATTGTCGCATGAAGTGTTTTCCGGGAACCCGCTCCCCTACTTTTGTGGCCAGGAAGAACACTTCTTGTCGTTTTCACATCGTCCGCAGCCTGGAAAAGTGTCTCCGGAGCCGTTCTCGCCGGGATTGTGTGCTGAGTGTAGAGGGGGGGGCGGGGGGGCGGAGAGGCATGCCGAGAGTTTCCCAGGTCGTGCACCACCCCCAGACTTCCCACTGTCGGCCCTTTGTTCCTGTCCAGCTCGATGCCACCTGTCGTGGGGGCTGGGTTGTTCCTGCGGTTCACCATCAAGAACATAGACACTCCACGACTTTCCTTTTTAGGACGGTGTGTTTTCAGCTTTCCTGTTACGGAAAGAATACATGTAGCAGGCACCACTAGCACTATCGGGGAGGCTCCATCTATTGGTGGGGAGCAGCACCTGCTGGAAAGCGGGTCCAGCGTCCCTGAACATTGTGGTTGTTTGTATGAATGGACATCTGATTGTAGCAGTATCTTTCTGATAAGATAAACCCTTAAACCCTAGTGGCCGTCCTTCTTCATATTGCCTGGGGTGCAGTCTTGTGCAGTGCTGTGACAGTGTGAGGTGTATTGTGTAAGTGTGGAGCTGATGTGGGGTGGCTTCGACCACCCCCTGTCCTCTCCCTCCCAAAACCCATGCTGCCTTGTGCAGTGTTGTGACAGTGTCAGTGTGAGGTGTATTGTGTAAGTACGGAGCTGATGTGGGGTGGCTTCCGCCACCCCCTGTCCCCTCCCTTCCCAAAACCCATGATGTATGTTACAATCTAAGGCTCATCCAGAAGATGGTAAACCTCATGACATGGTATCCTGCCTACCTAAGTTATATGATAGCCAATATAACCATACTAGTGTCGCTTTTTGTGGCATACATAGTCATTATGTAGGGTCTGCATCGATAGCACGGTGACCTGCTTTTGTCTGCAACGGGGCCCTTGTACACCCTGCTAGAAACCATAGTAGGGCATATGGCATCACATCGTCAATAGGAAATGGGCCCACAGCATTGTCCGTCTGTCTATTTGTCCACCCAAATCTGTACGTTTATGGCCATTGAATTGAGTCAGACCTGCCTCACGACAAATCACGGTCTTGATCGCCCACCTGCATTGTAGATAAGAGTAGAGAAGAGAGTCCGCCAAAGACAATGTGAGCATGAGGACGAAGGTAGGAAGATACAGCAGCAGTACCTCATCACGCACGAAAAGAGTATTGAAAAACAGTAATCCACTCCAAAATTCAAGAGAACACAAGAGTACGCGGCAAACCCTCGACGCATTTCGTCTGCGCCGTGAAACAAACTCTTCAGGAGGAAGATCGCAATACTAAGCATGGGGTCATTCCTCATGCTTTGCCCCATTATATAGCTAACCTATGGCCGTCCTCGAAAATGTCTCCGCTACCAAAAGTCGGACCAAACAATTGTCCTAAGCAAAGCAACCACAACGGTGCAGATCAGCCGATTGCATCAACGTCATAGAACGGAGAAGCCGCCGAGACTGAAGCACAAGAGTACTCCACAGCGTCATCAGGAAGCGGACGGGGATACCTACACCCACTGATTCAGAACACAAGCACACAAACAAAAACACACAGGGACAGCCCACAAACTCGCGCACCGAAATCACACCAACTCTGTAGACTGGCGCACTGTCAAGATGAAGCAATCAGTCGAGCTGGACTGGAAATGGCAACAGATCAAAAATTTAATACATTCAAAGATTTATGAGAATATAGGAAATTTTAGAATTTAAAACTAAAAAAAGATATATAAACTAAAAAAGTCGCTGGCGCTGCGGCGTCGGCAACGGCCACCTACATTGCTTCAAACTTATGCTTGCATCGCACAGCAAGAGCCAAACAATATGGCTATGCACAGAACTCAATTACAACTTGAAATGATATACACAGGTTTCTCCAGGTCGTGGATATGGCCACCCACAACAACGACAAGCAAGTTCCTCCCTCTCTTAGTGCCGTCGACTACTCACCAGGCATTGCTCACGCATCCAAGATCTCGGCGCAAGCAGCATAGAAGCACTGGAATCGAAGAAGAGGAACCGACAGCTATGGTGTCCTGGCAAGTGCCGGCGACTACTCACCAGGCACTGCTCGCACATCAAAGATCTCCGCGCCCTGCATAAGTTGGAATTGAAGAAGAGGAGGTTCCTGATGTTGGTCTCCCTTTCGAGCCTGTGCCTCAGCCTCCCACATGATTCCGGACTCTTCCTGCCAGACACTGCTGTCACAGACCGAAATCTGGACTGTCATCGGTCTTCCCTGGCACTGAGCTGCAGTGGCACCGGGACTGGAGACGTGGTGACTCTCTAAACTCCTAACCTAGGATCCACTACTGTCCCTACTGCCAGTGGTCTAATCCTATCCGATCTCTATCTTGTCCTGTACAGAACCCACCCTAAAGTTCTGCTATGGGCCTATGGCCCTATGGTCCCCAAAAAAAAAGGGACACGGTACTGGGGCCGTACTGCCACACCAGGTACATCTTTTTACTCCCGCCACCCGCTGGTCTAACTTCGAGGTCCTCCAAAATCCAATACTTGTGTTAGCTGAAGCTGTCTTGTGATATCAGCACTGCCTATTAGACTAGGAATTTCGTAGCGGTGGTTTTCCTTGAATTACTTTTCTTCGCAAGAGGCTTCGGTACTTATCAAGACTTGCTTAAGAAATGGTTCATCGGTTTGGAGGCATTCCCACCCTCCTTTTGCTCATATAATAAAATCCTGCTATTCAAAAAAAAAAAAAAAAAAAAAAAAAAAAAAAAAAAAAAAACATAACACCATGAGTAGCAGCTACCAGTCAAACTCATAAACGTCTCGACTTGCTTGCTCATAGGGTGACACTACCCAAGAACTTCGCCGAGAAGGTCTGCGGTGTTTGTTACTGTGCTCATTACCACCAGGGGCTAGGTCCCACTTGCACGAGTTATGCCATATCGACCGTCGATAGCGAAGATCAACGGCCGCAATCTCCTAATCCGTGCAAGTGGGACCTTGCCCCAGTTCAAGCCCCTGCCTGTCCCTGCTATTGCAGTGAACTGCACCCAGGCAGCAGCCCTTCGGCAGAGACTGGTGGTGCAATGGATGGG